ATTCTGACGCACGGCATTTGAGGTGGCTCAGTGGTCTCATGATTACGTCGCTGAGCTTGGCATCGTGCTGCTGTGTCCGCTCCCCCTCCTCCCCTCCACAATTGCGCTGAAACAAAAAAATGGTGGGAGGAGGAGAAGGGGGGGGGACGAGGCAGCAGGAGGAGGAGGAGGAGGAGGAGGAGGAGGAGGAGGAGGAGGAGGAGGAGGAGGAGGAGGAGGATGAGATGGACGAGGAGGAGGAGGAGGAGGAGGAGGAGGAGGAGGAGGAGGAGGAGGAGGAGGAGGAGGAGAAGGATATGGAGGAGGGAGGAGGAGGAGGAGGAGGAGTACGAGGTGGAGGAGTACGAGGAGGAGGAGTACGAGGAGGAGGAGGAGGAAGAGGAGGATGAGTGAGGAAGCGGGGAGATGGGGGAGGAGGAGGAGGAAGAGGAGGAGGAGGAGGAGGAGGAGGAGGAGGAGGAGGAGGAGGAGGAGGAGGAGTGAGGAAGAGGGGAGATGGGGGAGGAGGAAGAGGAGGAGGAGGAGGAGGAGGAGGAGCAGGAGGAGGAGGAGGAGGAGAAGGAAAAGGTCGAGGAGGTGGAGGGTGAGGGGTGAGGAGGTCCCCGGAAGCCCGATGGAAGTGGAGGAGGAAAGCAATACGGAAAAATTATGTTTGTCATCGTGGACCCCAAGCAGTGAGACGTTGCACTGTGGATGTGTAAGCTATCTGGTTCTATCGATGAGGGCCGATCTATATGCTGTGAGCTGCGAAGCGTGAAACTATATGGTGCAGCATCTGTGGTGCAACATATGTGGTGTGAGCTACGCGGTGTAAGGTCTGTGGTGCAATATACGTGGTGATCTATGGGGCGTATAATAAAATATTCAATCTATGTGGTGCAATGTTTGGTGTGAGCTATATGGTGTAATCTATGTGGCGCAGTCTAAATGGTGCAATCTTTGCAGTGGTATACATAAATGAATGTATGTATGTGTGTGTGTGTGTGTGTTTCGAGCCATGTGGTGTAAACTATGTGGTGCAGTCTACGTGGTGTGACTTAGGACATGTGAGCGATGCGGTGTAAGCGATGTCGTGCTTTCTGTGTAGTATGGGCTACGAGGTGCAAACCATGTGGTGCAACCCATCCGGTGTCAGCCGTCGTAAACTACGCACGGTGCGCCCACGAGGCGCCCACGGGCCGCAACGTGGCGGATGTCGGCGGATCGATCCATCGCACGGGGCGCCCACGAGGCGCCCGCGGGCGGCACCGTGGCGAAACCTCGGCGGACGCGTCCGTCTCCGCAGGAACGCAAGGAAGACCCCCTCATTGTAAAGACTCGCTGAGGAACTTTTTTTGATTCGCGGGTCGAGAGCGCACCTCTTCCGGTCGAAGCTAAGCGGACCGCGCGAAGCTTGAATTAACAAAGAGGGGGGGACAGAAGGAGAGGCCTCACGGCAAGGCCAGGAGGAGGCAAAGCCTCGGGATCAACTCGCTGAGGAACACAGAGGTGCTGATACCAGCTGTTCGGCGGCGAGCGAGGGGGGAAGTGAGAAGGAGAAGGCCTCCTCAGAAAGCTCGGACCCCCCCCGGCCTTCTCATAAGTTCTCTAAGCTTTCCCCAAAGACCAACAAAAGCTCTCCGAAGGCGCGACGGGCTTCTGAGAAGTCCCGCCGCCTTCTGAGAAGGCCTTCTCCTTCTCATATCTCCCCCCTCGCTCGCCGCCGAAGTTGCGCGAGGGATACGAACCTTGGCGACAGGAACGGTAGTGCTGACGCGAACGATGATATTGGGACCAGGGGCTCGGGCCTGTGCCGCCGGTCCCCCCCCAGCCTGCCTGCGTGGCCACGTCTGGCTTAGCAGGTTGGTTTTGGTGTTCCTGTCGGTTGGCTAGGTGGCAGCTCGGCCTTTTGGCTTCTCGTTTGATTTCGGCGGCGAGCGAGGGGGGTAAGCGAGAAGGAAAAGGCCCTCTCAGAAGGCGGCGGGGCTTCTCAGAAGCCCTCGCGCCTTCTTCGGGGAAGGCTCAGAAACCTTCTCAGAAGGCCGGGCTCGAGTGCCGAAATTTATTTGATGGTAGGGTACCACTATGAATTTGTCGTTGATGCCAAATCTGCCTTTGACATTGAACTTCGTGGCTTGGAGTGCGCGGTGCAAGTTTGCCGGCAATCTTGCGAGGGAAGGGCTTTGTCAACTCAGCAAGCAACCTGAGTGAGGACACTTTCCTGAAAAAACAGCAAGGGTTTGTGGCCACGGGAGCGCGAACCTGGTGGAATTGTCAAGGGATTGTGGCCCAAGGAGCGCGAGCATGGCATAAGGAAGAAGGGACTGTGGTTTCGGCAGCGCCGGGGCGCTGCTGCTTCGAGGGCGCAACCTTCCTTAATTTGCAGGGGGCTGTTGCCTCGGGGATGTGACACTGCAGTGATTCACATTGGATTGCAGCTCGGGGAGCGCCAGCCTGATGTAAGTTACTACGGTCTTGTGGCTTGGGAAGCGCGATGGCGTTGTAATTTACGTGGGATAGTGGCTTGGGCAGCGCGAGTATGGCGCACTGTATGAGGGACTGATTCCTTGGGAGCGTGAACCCGCAGTAATTTACGAGTGACTGGCTTGGGGAGTGTGACTATGATGTAATGTCTGTGGGACTGTTCTGGTCTGGGGAGGGCGAACCTTGCGTATTTTACGAGAGGTTGTTGCCTCGGCGGCGCGAATCTGGAGTGATTCACAGAAAGGATCGGCAGGGGGAGCGCGAGTCTGGTGTATAGTGTATTTGTGACGTCTGCCAGTTCACCCCCGGGAAGTCTGAGAACCCCCAGCGGGAGGGGAACGGGGCGGTTTTCAGCCCCCCCCCGCGCGCGCGGACTCACATTACCACAACAGCGGAACTCAAACTGAGAGCATGGTACCGGAGAAAACCCCCAATCGTAATCGTTTTAGGGCTATAGGGCTAAGGGGCTTTAGGGCCATAGGGCTATAGCTCTATAGTGCTATGGGGCTATAGGGCCATAGGGCTGTAGGGCTGTAGGGCTATGGGGCTATGGGGCTATGGGGCTATGGGGCTGCGGGGCTATGGGGTTATAGGTCTATAGGGCCATATGGCTATGGGTCTGTAGGGCTATAGGGCTATAGGGTGATAGGGCTATAGGCATATACAGCTTTAGGGCTATAGGGCTATAGGGCTGTAGGGCTACAGGGCTATAGGGCTTTCAGGCTATAAGGCTGTAGGGCCATATTTGGCTGCAGGGCTATATGGCTATAGGGCTATAGGGCTATAGTGCTATCGGGCACCCAGGCACATGGGCACCACCCGGGCACCCAGGCACCCGGGCGTGCCACCGAAATCGGCGCCATATCTCACCTAACCGAATGAATCCGCTAGGACCCCTACAGAGGCAAGCTCTGATTGGGGATTTTTTTTGCGCATGTTGCAAGCCAGAACTGGCGCAGGGAACAGGACAGCTTCGTCCTCGCAGACTGCTGGCCCCCAAGAGAGCCGCCGGAGATTCGTAATCATCCGAGACGTGCCCAACCCATCTTCAGCAAGTGACCATAGCAATAGGCCCGCTTATGCGGACAGTAGTAAGCAAGGATGCGCATTATGCTATGAAAGCTACATGGGGGGCTTTCGCGTTCCACGGTTCACAGAAAACCTTCCTCATCCAGGGAAGCGATTTCTGGTCACTTGGAAGGCGTGCAGAAGGGAGGGAACGTCTTCTCAACGTTCTGCTTCTGGGACTTCGATGGGCCACCTCTGTGAACCACCCATCCGCGGCGACAGTTACGCAGTTTGCAGCTTCCCCCAGAGACGCGGGGTCTCGCCTGATAATCGCCCCCGCTGGACCTCCCAGGAGCCCGCGAAAGTGGCCACGGTTGCGCAGTTGACGGCCTCTCACGGAGCCGCGAGGTCTCGCTTGGCAACTGCCCCCGTTGGGCCTGCTGGACCTCCCAGGAGCCCACGAACGTGGCGAACGTTGCGCCGTTGGCAGCCTCCCACGGAGCCGCGAGGTCTCGCCTGGCGACCGCCTCCGCTGGACCTCCCACAAGCCCACGAACACAGTTCCTCACGGAGCTGCGGGGTCTCGCCTGACAACTGCCTCCGCTGGACCTCCCGGGAGCCCACGAAAGCGGCGAATGTTGCGCAGTTGGCGGCCTCCCAGGGAGCCGTGAGGTCTCGACTGACGACCGCCTCCGTTGGTTCTCCAAGGAGCCCACGACCGTGGCGAACGTTGTGCAGTTGGTAGCCTCCCAGGGAGCCGCGAGGCGTATACCGTTCCCCCTGCATGGCGCATTCGTTTTTCATTTTTGTTAGTTTGTTTGCATGTGCGAGTTGCGCCGTCTAGGTGCGACTTCGCGTGTGTGCGTGTAGTGTGTGTGTGTGTGTGTGTGTGTGTGTGTGTGTGTGTGTGTGTGTGTGTGTGTTTGTGTGCGTGTTGTGTGTGTGTGTGTGTGTGTGTGTGTGTGTGTGTGTGTTTGTGTGCGTGTGTGTTTGTGTTTGTGTGTGTGCGTGTGTGCGTGCGCGCGTGCGCGCGCAAGTGTGTGTGTGTGTATGTAGCGTGTAATGCGTGTAGTGTGTAGTGTAGTGTGTAGTTTGTAGTGTGTAGTATGTAGTGTATAGTGTGTAGTGTGTGTAGTGTGTACATATAATGTGTGTAGTTTTTTGTTGTTGTGTGTGTGTGTGTGCGCAGGGAGCCGCGAGGTCTCGTCTGACAACCGCCTCCGCTGGACCTCGCAGGTGCCCACGAAAGCGGCGAATGTTGCGCAGTTGGCGGCCTCCCAGGGAGCCGCCTGACAGCCGCCTCCGCTGGACCTCCCAGCAGCCAACGAAATTGGCGAACGTTGCGAATGAGGAGGACGAGAAGGAGGGGGAGGAGTAGCAGGAGGTGGAGGAGGAGGACGAAGAGGAGAAGCAAGGGGAGGATGAGGATGATGATGATGAGGAGGAGGAGGAGGAGGAGGAAGAGGCAGCAGGGAGGAGGAGGAGGAGGAGGAGGAGGCCTCGCCATCCCGCCCCTCCCCTCGGGCCAGAATTCGCGGCCTCGCTGAACATCTCGGGCGTACTGTGGGCCACGGACGTCTTGGAGGGCGACCTCGACGGCAAGGCCAGCGCCTGGGAATGGTTGTCGTCGTCATCGTCCCGTCGTCCCCGTCGTCGTCGTCGTCGTCGTCGTCGTCGTCGTCGTCGTCGCCGTCGTCATCTTCGTCTTCGTCTTCGTCTTCGTCCTCCCTCCTCCCCCCCGATCCTCGAGAATGTGCTTTGTCTCTGTCTATCTCTCCCTCTCTGGTGTGTGTGTGTCCGTCGGGCCAGGGACCTCTCTGTCGGTTCCTCTCCGCTCGGTGCAGGGCGCGCCGATCGGGGCCCCCCGGCGGGCCGACGGCGACAGCGCTGCTCCGCGCCAGGGCGCAGAAGGGGCCGCTGACGACGCAGCCAGCCTCGGTCGACGTCGCGCCTCGGTTTCTCCTCAGCGGGGCGGCGGACGGGAGCGATCCGTGTCTCCCCCGCGCCTCGGCTCATTCCCAACAGCCATGACACAGCGAAGTAAAGCACTGCATCTCGCGCACCCCATCCAGCCGAACATGCAAATAGGTCTGGACCAAAAGTTGTAATTCCATCAGCCGCGGAACGAAACACATGCTGAAAATCCATTCCGTGATTCTTGAAATCTGAGGTCGGCCACGGCGAACGAGCGACCTGGAGCCGAGGGAGGCCCGCATGAGACCGCGCAAGGGCTCCTCCTTCTCCACCTCCTCCTCCTCCTCCTCCTCCCTCCCTCCCTCCCTCCCTCCCTCCCTCCTCCTCCTCCTCCTCCTCCTCCTCCTCCTCCTCCTCCTCTGCTAGTCCTACTCATACTATACTCTCCCCCTCCCCCCCCCTCCCCCTCCCCCTCCTCCTCCCCCCTCCCTCCTCCTCCTCCTCCTCCTCCTCCTCCTCCTCCGGCTGATCCGCGACCCAGGCACTAGCCCCCCTTTAGGGCCAGTGACCACCTGGGCCAGGCGTGTCGGCCGACAGTCCCACGAGGATGAATTGTACAACATGCGAGGCCCCCGCCTTCAGCGAGGGGCCTCCCAAGTCGGGCGGGTTGAGCGATTCCCAGATGGGGAATGGGCTCCGCAAGCGAGCACTAGCCAAAGAGGGGGGAGAGAGGAGGGACGAGGAGACGGGGACGGGGGGCGGGGGGCGGGCGTCGTATCGTCGAGCGTCGCTGCCTCTGCAGGTCCTCCTCGCCCTCAGCCCCACTACCACTTCTCTTCCTCCTCTGCACTCACCGGCCTGGGACTGGTCCTGCCACCGCCACCTCCTCGCCCTCAGCGAGTTCCTCCTCACCCTCTGCCTCCGCCTCCTCCTCCACCTCCTCCACCTCCTCCTCCTCCGTCACCTCCTGGTGCAGACTGTGCTCAGCGCCCGCCCCCGACGACAGGGGGCTTGTGGGCGCTGAGTAACTGTTCAGCCACCGCCGTTTGCAGAACAGCACTGAGCTCTTGCCAGAAAGCGACCGCATCAGCAGACGCTCCTGCCTCTCCGTCAGAGCGGTCCAGGTGATCCAGGATCAGCTGTCTCGCAGAAGAGCCCACTCGTCCCCCAGTTTCGATCGCGAAAGGAATGAGCAAAGGTGTCGTGGGTCCCGGCGGGTACCGGCGCGCCTTGTCGCGGGCCGCGTCCTCCGCGGCGAGGCCAGCCTTCGCCGCCCGAGCACGCGCCTCCCTCTCGTCAGTACTGTCCGGGCTAACCACGACCACGTCCACCGCCCTGGTGCAGCCCTGGCGGGCCCAGACGACGTCAAGGACCGCCGTCTCGACACGCGCAGTCTCGACCCCATCCACGACAGCTCGGCGGGTCCTTTGCCACTGGGGCACAGTCTGCTCCTTCTGGACCCATGCTGGGACGCGCCGGGCAAGCCAGCGGGCCAGCAGGTCGCGAATGCGATCGTGTCGCGCCACGCGGCGCCCTCCCGTCTCGCACGCCAAGGCGTGGTGCTGGTCGGTGTCCAGAACCGCTCCGCAAAGCACCCCCTCTCGGGATGTGTTTCGACAGTGCGTCTGCGGTTCCAGTCCGCGCAGCAGCCGTGCGCCCGTCATCAGAAGGCGCCGCCGCAACGAGATGCGGTACAGCTCAGGAGCCATTCTGTGTTCAGGCTTAGTCGGCAACATGGTGAAGGCACCAGCACCTGGGCCCCCCGCGGACAGCAGGCGGCCGCGCTCGCGGTGGTCCAGGCCAGCTTTGGCGACGCCTGCGATCACTTCCATCCGCGGGCCCACCAGGTCCTTCTGTCGGTGGCGCTCTCCCTGGGCCAGCGACGTCTGTAGGCAGTGGGCAGCGCCGACCGAAGCGTTGTACGTCACCACAGCGGCTTCAAATCCCTGCGTGCCCGCAGCGCGCGCGGCGAGGAGAGCCTCGGCGCTGGGGGCCCCAAGCGCCGCCGCAACCCGCGGGGCGGCGTCGAGCCACGCGGCGATGTGCGCCGCCTCCCGCCGAGGCTCGGCCGCGCCGGCCGCGAGACCGCCCTCCCGGATGGGCAAACAGGACTGCACCCACTCCCGATCGGACATGTCAACGCCCAGGACGTCATTCCAGAGGCCGCGAAGCACCGTGTCATAGGCCCGGACGGCCACCAGGTCCTGCAGGTGCGCGCGAAGGAGGTGGTTCGGTAAGCCTTGGGCTGTCCACCTCAGCATCGCCGTTGCCTCTTGTGGCCCCAGTCCTGCGGCCCTCGCCTCCCGGAGCGTCTGCCCGAAAGCCCGGAGCGTCTCGGTGGCGGCGCCCATGGCGCGCACCCCGCCTCCAGCTCCCGCGGCCAGGGCGCCCCAGTCGTCGTCCTGTCGGCGCGTCAGACTGCAGCCCACCACCTGGAGCTCGTCCTTCACGTACTGCCGGAGGGAGGGTGGACAGTGCGCAGTGCCAGGGGGCAGCCACACCTTCGTCTTGCTTGGGTCCAGCGCAAGACCGCCAGGGCCCAGCAGCCCAGACAACTGTCGCAGGTAGTCTTCTGCCTCTGCGCTCGGCACCACGGCAACGACGTCGTCCAGGTAGGCGGTGACGAGCCACTGCGGTCTGGCAGAGAAGTGCTGTAGCGCCAGTTGGTGCAAGGCGGCCGCAAACGCTGCCGGGCTCAGCGGGCACCCCTGTGGCACCCCGGCGCCGGTGCGCAGCTCACGCGTGTCACCAGTGCCGTCGCGCCATAAACCCACGGCAGGCCTGGCGTAGAGTCTCGCGAGCAGGCTTCCGTACTCAGGGAGTGCCCCTCGCAAGGATGCGATAACTCCCCGGCGCGCAAGCGTGCCGAACGCGTTGGACACGTCCACCGCCACCAGCACGCTGCCCGGCCTATCGTGCACAGCTGCTTGCAGCGCCTTGAACTGAACATCTGCGCCGCCAGGCACCCCAAGACCATACTGGTACGAGCCTGCCGCGGCCCGCGTGGCAGCCTTGGTGTGGGCCACGAACCCGGTCAGGACGATCCGGCGGAATGGCGCAAGGACCGTGAGCGGGCGGACGCCGCCGCTGGCTTTGTGGAGCGCCGTGATGGCCCCTGTGCGCAGCCACTCGTCCACGACTGGCGGCGCGGAGCCCTCCACCCAGGCCAGGGCGGCCTCCACCAACGCGTCGACCGCTTCGGTGTCGGCAGCCAGCACGCGCCAATGCTCATTGCGGCTGCTGTCCAGACCTGGCGCGCGGCCGCCCTTGGCCTTCCTGAAGGCTGCGGCGATGGCGTCCCCGAGCTGCTGACGAGTCTCCGCTGCGAGCGGAGTCGCCGTCGCGTCGTCCTGCGCCGCGTCCCAAGTGTCAGCCTCGGGGAAGAGAGCGCGGAGCCGATCGTGGACGCCTGGGCCGGCAGCTGTCTGGCCGGACCTCCGGAGCGTAGCAACAGCCCCTGCCACCTGCCCGTCTTCGAGCAGCGTGTTGACGCGGCGGACCCTGCTCGTCACGTCCACGGCAGTAGCAGCGCCCACTCGCAACTCACGCCTGTGAGCGGCTTCCCACAGCTCTTGCCACTCCCCGCGCCAAAAAGCATGCAGGCGCTCAGCAATGTCATTCTTGATGTGTTTGGCCCTTTTGCCATTGGCCCCGCGCCCACCCCGGGCTCCAGTGGCAGCAAATATTAAGCGAGGTGCGAAAATGACAAGTTTCCAAGCACGCTCCCGGTCCTGGGCGGTCTGCCCACCCACACTCTCCCTCAGAGCTTTACCCATGGCCTCGGCCCAAGCAGCTTGCAGTCCAGCTGGGACGCGGCGCATGGCGGCGACCTTGTGTCCGAGACTGTTTGGCACGTCCACTGTGCCCCACCACGCCATGTGCAGGAGCTGGGATGCACCAAGGGGGTCTTCTGGATCGTGCAGCGCGGGTCCAGGGCCCACTGGACCGACCTGGGCGCCTTCCGCTTGGAAGATGTCCTCCCCGTCCTGCTGCATAGAAGCCTCCCCCAGCAACTCGCGCACGCGATCAACCTCAGCTTGCGGGGTGGTACGGGAGCCTTCCAGCGTGGCCGTGGGTCGCCAACGCTTCCCCACGCAGTGCCAGTGGCATAATCGGGAGGCCCCTTGTGTCTGCAGACGCGGCTCGCCAAGCGCAAACTCCTCCTTACAGGTGTGGCAGTGTGCCCGGCGGCCGTTGCCCTGCAGCGTCAGGACCCAGTTGAGTCCCCTCCGAGCCCCCTGATCGACGTCCATGTTCTGGGGACTCGCAGCTGGAGGGCCCTCGCCGGGATAGCCAAGAGTCGCGTCGAATTCCAGGGCGCTCCAGCTGATGGCCCAGGCGGCCGGGGCAGCTGACGGAACAGGCGCTGCTGCGCAAGCCTGGGCGTGGACCAGGCCTGCCGCCATCGCACCCACGGAGGCGGCGACGGCGAGGCTCAGTCCGAGGTAGGCCGCTGCTCGGCCGTACATCCGGATGCGGCTCCGGAACTGGCGCGCGTCAATCCTGGCTGCCGCGGCCCAGCCCCTAGCGAGGCAAGCGTCGACGGCCGCCCGCGCCCGCATCAGCACCTCCACCGTGATGGGGGCCATCAGGGCGAGCAGCCAGAGAGCGTCGCCCACAACAACCGCGAGGCCAGGGTTCGTGCCGCTCCAAATCTCCGAGAGGAAGGCGTGGAGGAGAAGGAGAATG